AACTTAGTCTGTGCTGAATGATTGTGGCCCTTTTGAATAAAATAAAATAAAAATAAAAATATATATAAATATAAATGTAAAAAAATAAATATTACATTAGTTATGATTGATACAAAATACTAAAATAAAAAAAGAGCAAATAAATTAATTCTTAATTATATTTTCCTTCAATTTAAAAAGTCTTAAGAAAAGAAATTCTAAAGATTACATAATAAATAAAAAGAAACCAGGATGAATAACTGTTTAAATAATTATCAGAAAAAAGGGTGGAATGTTTATTTGTATGAATGTTGATAACTTTATATAAGTTTAACTTAGATAGATGTGTATTTGAAACAGATTCCAGATGTTATATAAGACGCATTTATGTCTTTTTATGTATTAATAAATTGTTGATCTACATCACCGCTTTAGACTTTGATGATGGTGCATTCAGAGCCTGTAGGAAAACAGCCTCTCTGTGTCATCTCACTGGAGTTTTAACTCTCTGCTGCCACCTGCTGGACCTGGCTTTTATTTTCTGCATATTATACCATGTAAGCTTTGTACCGTGTTTGTTTGATTGTTTAAATAAAAGACTTAACCCTATAATGCCAAATGTGTCATATCTGATCCGGTTTCTTTTGGATGTGAGACTTTCTGCATCATTCAGTGGTAAAAGCTTTGCTCAAACCCCTGTTGTACACATTCAGATATACCTGATAACAGCCAGTAGAAGACTACACCAACATAGATTTCTGACTTATTGCATACTAATTTGATCAAAATAATTTCTTTTTTTTTTCTTCATATGTTGTTGAGGGGCCAAAGAAAGACTTCAGACTAAAAAATCCAACACTCTTCCTATTTTTTTGGATCAGACATTAAAGGGTTAAATAAAAGACTTAAACAACAACAAAAGGACTCGGCCACACATGCTGATACTCACTCCACCGTGCCGTGGCCCTCGGCGCTCTCCCGCACCACGTTGCCCTGAAGGATCTCCTGAGTCTTCACAGTGGCGATGGGCAGGCCTCGGTCCGGCTCCGGCTCTGTGGGGGGGGTAAGTTACTTTAAAAATGTAATCCGTTACAGTTACAGGTTACCTTGTTTAAAATGTAATTGTAGTGTAACTTTTTCGATTGTAACTAATTACTTTTGATTACTTTTTGATTACTTTAAGGTTTTAATGAGTATTGACCCATGATTCATTTTAGCTTGTTATTATTAGCTATTGGCCGCAGCTAGCAGTTCAAGGCTAACGTCTTGTTAATGATCATAAACAACGTAAATAAATACATAAATAAATCGGAGACAAGTCAGTCGTATCCGGATACAACATTTTAGTATCTATACTTTTTTAAGTATCGATACTTTTGACAACCCTAGTCTGAAATGTAGGACATGTCCGGGAAAAAGAGGAGTTGGCTAGGCTAGGCTAGGCTAGGCTAGGCTAGGCTAGGCTAGGCTAGGCTAGGTCATAGACATCGATAAACGTTTGTCATGCATCAACACCAAACGGTAAAATATTAGTAAAACAATACGCTTCGTCTATCAGTGAGTTGCATATTTTGCAAAGGTTTTTCTTTATATTTTCTAAAAAATGTAACTAAATTTGTAATTCTTAATATTTTCGGAAGTAACTGTAACTCAATTACATTTTCTCATTGTAACTGTAACTGAATTACATATTTTCTCATTGTAACTGTAACTCGATTACATATTTTCTCATTGTAACTGTAACTCAATTACATATTTTCTCATTGTAACTGTAACTGAATTAAATATTTTCTCATTGTAACTAACTGAATTACATATTTTCTCATTGTAACTGTAACTGAATTACATATTTTCT